CTGAGTCTCGGAAACGGCTCGAACGATGTTCATAAAATTTAGTATACAGGGGATTTCGGGGGCGATAAATCGATCTAGCTACGATTTATTTTCGGAAAATGTTGTTTTATTCGTGTTTTTAATAATCAACTCTTCCCGACATCTATTGGCGAATAATAATACTATTTTTCTTAATTGAGGGCAACTAACCGCTTTAAAGACACAACAAGATGGCGTTATCAAAAAAAAAACGAGTAAAGCTCGGACATCATCGAGTTGACTATTAAGATCAATGAAATTTAAATTAATTATATGCTGTAGGATTTATTTTTCAATATTAGATCATCATCTTTGTTGGCAAAATTCTTAGCGCGTCTAACTGCTGAGTTTTGAGTTCTTTTATTTATTTATTTTTTATTGCTTAGATGGGTGGATGAGTTCACAGCCCACCTGGTGTTAAGTTAAGCCACTGGAGCTCATAGATATCTAAAACGGAAATGCGCCACCCACCTTGAGATATAAGTGCTAAGGTCTTAGTATAGTTAAAACGGCTGCCCCACCCTTCAAACCGAAACGCATTACTGCTTCACGGCAGAAATAGGCAACGTGGTGGTATCGCGCGGACTCACAAGAGGTCCTACCACCAGTTTATTACAGTATCATCAATCGTGAGCATTTGTCAAGTACATATTTCATTAGAAAATTTTTTACCCCCCTGCGGGATTCGAACACTGGCATCGCTGCTTACGAATGCGCCGGTCGTCTTATCCTTTAGGCCACGACGACTTATGTATACCAGAGGTCCCGCAGTAGTCGAAATTCGACTATAATTAATTGGAATTGTAAGTTTGTACACTATTATGATTGTATTTTATACTTCTATAATCACAAATTTCGCCAAGACTACACTATAAAAAATAATAACAAAGACAAACAATATTTAATCTATTCTCAATTTGACAACCGACGTCAAGAACAAAAGTTTGACAATAAATAGTATGCATGCGTGTGTGCGTCAAATACATGGTATGTAGTGTGTGTAATGTTTTCTTTATTGATTTAAAATATCTTTTATGCATTATTTAAAAAAAAAATTGCATTGTGCACTTCTTCTCTATATTCTCTATAAGTGTGGAAAATTTTATACTCCTCCGTCCTCGCAATTTTCGTAAAAAGGGATACAAAGTTTTTGCTTCACGTATTAATATATAGATTAAACTATCTAAAACCAGATACCTAAATCAATGGTATACCGAAATTTACGTAGATTCGTATTCGAGATTGAGAATTGATTGATCGACGTACCGGGTATCCACCTGCAGAAAGGACTCAGCAAAAAACATGAAAATGTATGTTTTTATTCATATAAAAAAAAGGTTTAATAAGAAACGACGAGGAGCCGGGCATCGAACTTGGAGCATGTCAACACTAACCACTTTGCATAGCCTACATCATTATTTGGCTCGATCCGAGGCGGGTTTAACTATGACTGATTAATCAACCGTTTAACCGTTTTACTGGTGGTAGGACCTCTTGTGAGTCCGCACGGGTAGGTACCACCGCCCTGCCTATTTCTGCCGTGAAGCAGTAATGCGTTTCGGCTTGAAGGGTGGGGCAGCCGTTGTAACTATACTGAGACCTTAGAACTTATTACGTACGTATAATTATTACGTTATAATACTCCTTGTAAAAATTAATATTAAAAAAAATATAACTGATATAAAAAAAAAGACATGCCCGCTGAGTTTCTTGCCAGTTCTTCTCAGGACGGAGGCTAGTTTCTGTGAATTGGCGGTAGTTCTTTTTGACGTTCAACAAGTATGTACTTTCGTTTATGTTGAATAAAAGTTAAGTACTCTAAAATAAGTCATCATCATCATCATCATTATCCTGCCCTTCTCCCAGTCACTTGGGGTCGGTGTAACATATTTTCTCCTTCCATACTCTTCTATCATATACCATTTCTTCGCTCACTCCCCTCTTACCCATATCGTCTTTCACGCAATCCATCCATTTCTTCTTAGGTCTACCTCTTACTCTATATCCTTCCACATTCATACTCTAAAATATGTGTAATTTAATAAATAAAACATTAATACTTATTACTATCCATTTCTTTTTGCCAACAATAAGGATGTACCTATTGATGATGTAAGTATGCCATATTTAATATTGAAATATTCTGTGGAGGGTAAAAGTGGTCAAATGAATAGGATAAGTTACTATTCGTAAAGGGCTATGACAACTCAGGTCGTTTGTTTCAAGAATGGCGGACAATTTTTTTTTTTATTTTTTTTTATTGCTTAGTTGGGTAGACGAGCTCACGGCCTATCTTGTGTTAAGTGGTTACCGGAGCCCATAGACATCCAGAACGTAAAGTCTTGATCAAATCATATTCTACCTTAGTGCCCGGCATGTTTACATGGAATTAAATGCAATTCACGCAAATTTACATTTCATCATGGGACTGCTGTTTTTCGACTAAGCGTTTCATGGTAGCAGCGATCACATCTTCAACCTCCTCCGTAACCAGTTAACACCTGACATCCACTATCCATTGAGCTCAGTAAAAAAGGCGCGAAGAAAACTAAACTCAGTTCAGAACGTAAAACGAATGATTAAGTTCTGTTTAACATCAAAAGGCTTCGTGCAGCCCGCCTTATAGGCGATTCAAACTAAAAAACGTGAGAGCTTTTTGTGCAATCAGCGAAATAAGGGATAAAAACGGTGAATATGCTAAACTGTCAGTGAACTGCCGGCGGTAACAATATGACCACCGCAGAGATGTTTTACTAAAAAAAAAAAAACGTCACTGTTTCCATGTTTATTTACATGAATAAAGGCCCGGAACGTCTTTGATCGATTGTTTTATCAAATAGTTTAAGTATTTAGCATTGACGTGTGGCTTTTATTAACGAGCCAATAGACCAGCGATTCTCCATTTTTTTTTGTTGCGGCACATATTTAACGATTTCAAAATATGGCGGCACACAAAAAAAGAAGATAAAAATAATTATTTACTTATTACAACACACTGCATAAATAGTTTGTCAAAAAATTTTAATATACGAAATAAACTAAAATATACTTAATTTTTTTTTGTGGATTTAAATATATATTCATGTTTAAAATTATATAATTTAATAATATTAACATTATTATATATTCGCAAAATTTGCGGCACGCTTTTGAAATTTGGCGGCACACAAAAGTGCCGCGCAACAGTGGTTGAGAATCACTGCAATAGACAAATAAAAAATGATGTGTGGTTTCGTGGGTCACCGGATAGAAACGAAGTTCCTTGTTATAAAAATATTGATTTTAAGTTCTATTCGAGGTATAAAGATAATAATTATTCGGGTATACATTTTTTATTATGATTTTTTTATTGATAAATTTAATTAAAACTACAAAGTTATCAACTTTATTTTATTCACAATGATATATAAAAAAAAAATATAATAAAAAAATATGTTATTTTTTTTCATTATTACAAAGTTAAGTCGTACACTGTATGGATTACTAATAAAAATCTTACGTTACGGACGTTTTTTCCCGGTTAGTGTACCCCTCCGCATCGTCCCATAAGGAACTTCGTTCCAATAATCTTTTTTTGTTGCACCGCCATTGGAATCCTTTTCAATATTGCCTTAATAAGTTTATCTGATGTTCAGGAATCATCGTTGTTCAACTTTATTTCTGTTCCACCGCCATTGGAATCCTTTTTAATCTTGCCCTAATAAGCTTATTTGATGGTCAGCGGTCACCGTTGTTCAAGGATATCGGCATGGTCAGGTGCACAGTTGAACCTTTGACGACCAATAGATGCTGGTCTTCGATAATACACGATTTGATATTCCGTAATAGATGGAGCGTATTTCGACTTCCTGTCTCCAGATGAGTAATGGAATTTACGTCCTAATGTCCTGATACCTATGAATTCTAACTTGAACACCATATGGGCCATTTGTTTTATCATAGAATTCAATAAACAAAACCGAACGTACGTTAATGGTTTCTATACCAGACGCAAAAATCTGAAATCTGAGTTCGTATTAATTGTAATGAAGGTCTTTGATTTAGTTGGTCGTTAAAAATTTAGCGACCTATGTACTGTAATAGCGGCCGATCTCCCATGTGCTGGACTGCAATCAAAGGCTTACCAATGCTGCTATTAGTACTGGCATAAGATACAGCTAACGTACCGCGAAGACCGGCATCATTGGTCCACCATGATCGCCTTGACAACCAGTTGGTCGAGTATCGGTGTGGCGTCGCGAGTCTGGTTGTAGTGTTGACCGCGGGAACTCCCCCTACTCTGACCCCTGGCGAAGATCGGCCGTCGAAGAATTGTAGGGGAGTCGTTTAGTCGGTAGGGTCCTAAATTCCACCCCTTGCACCTGCGGTTCGCTCCCGACATCTCTGGACTGGACGCACGGCTCTTCTCAAAAGCACCCAAAGATAGACGAAGATTTCTTTGGCTCTAAGAGCTTCGATTCAATCTAACGTTTACAAATCTCTTGAGTGATTGTAATGACCAAGGTTATAAACGATCCTTTACAATCCCCTCTGCGCAGGGACTTCGGTTCCCTCTGTATTTTGTACCGTATGTTCCATGGGGAGTGCTCTGAGGAATTATTCGAGATGATACCGGCATCTCGTTTTTACCACCGCACCGCCCGCCACCGGAGTAGAGTTCATCCATACTACCTGGAGCCACTGCGGTCATCCACAGTGCGCTTCCAGAGATCTTTTTTGCCACGCACCATCCGGCTATGGAATGAGCTCCCCTCCACGGTGTTTCCCGAGCGCTATGACATGACCTTCTTCAAACGAGGCTTATGAAGAGTATTAAGCGGTAGGCAGCGGCTTGGCTCTGCCCCTGGCATTGCTGAAGTCCATGAGCGACGGTAACCCCTCACCATCAGGTGGGCCGTATGCTCGTCTGCCTACAAGGGCAATAAAAAAAAATAAAAAAAAAACTATTTTGTTATTAATTTTCTATCCTCTTTCTCCTCTAGGCGAATACCGCATTGGTTTGAAGTTCAACGAGCAACACATCCCTGACTCGCCCTTCAAGGTGTACATCTCGCCGGCTGCCGGAGACGCTTATCTCCTCGAAGTGGCCCAGTTCCCGGACTCGGCTCAAGTGGATAAGCCAACCCAGTTCTACATTAGGATGAACGGCGCCAAGGGCAACCTGAACGGGACGGTAAACTATCTATACTGATTTGAACATAATCCTCATTTATAACTCGTATTCTAGAAGTCGTCGTGGCCTAAAGGATAAGACATCCGGTGCATTCGTGTTGAGCGATGCAACGGTGTTCGAATCCCGCAGGCGGGTACCAATTTGTCTAATGATATACGTAATTAACAAATGTTCACGATTGATTTCCACGATGAAGGAATAATATCGTGTAATAAAAATCAAACCCGCAAAATTATAATTTGCATAATTACTGGTGTTAGGACCTCTTGTGAATGCACACGGGTAGGTGCTACCTCCCCGCATATTTCTGCCGTGAAGCAGTAATGCGTTTCGATTTGAAGGGTAGGGCAGCCGTTGTAACTATACTGAGACTTTAGAACTTATATCTCAAATTGGGTGGTGCATTTACGTTGTAGATTCTATGGGCTCCGTAACCACTAAACACCAGGTGGGCTGTTAGGTCGTCCACACATCTAAGCTATAAAAAAAAACAGGGTATATAGAAAATAGGCAGGGTTGGGCAGGGGTGCTACAAGACGCGTTTCCACCCATAAACAGCTTCTGAATTATCTTTACTCATGCGTGGTAGCCCTATTGGTTTTGGTGGCAGGGCGTGCTGAATCAGTATGGCTAGTAAGCCTATACGCTTTCTGCCATGAAGTAAGTAGTCAGACGGTTTTATATAATAAGATAGCCGAATTGCAAATTTAGTATCTAATGTAAGAAAGTACAACGTAAAATCGTTTGTCGGTCTAATGCAATAAAAGATATATTTAATTGTTAAACTACCGTCGTTGTATTGACGGTCCTCCTGTAGGATTCTTAGTAAATTGTCGTTTTCATTTCATTTTTTACTGCCAACGTTGATAGTATATAGTAACTAGAAGCGCCAATATACGAATGTAGAATTGGGATTGTGACTCATAAAATAACACTGTTCCATTGTTGCGCTTTTATTGTTCTATTCTCAAATCTATACTAATAAATACATTTATAGTGGATGTGCCGCTATAACTACTGAACCATGCATCTGATTGACTTGAAACTCGGTTTCCATGTAGAAAATATATGTACTTAATGGATAGGCTAATATTTATATGAGAGTTGGACTCCCTACACCAGTTGCGGGGGCGTTAATGATGAGAATCTTTGTGGGGGTGAGAAATAATAATGTTAATTTTAAATGCCCAGCGAAGTGGACGGACACCTTTTTTACGCCTTACTCCTTTAACCGTCTTCGCCATCTTGATTTTCTCTGTCATTCTCTTTTCATTTTCTTACCGTTTTTTCTCACTCAGATCTTAACGCGCCATTCCATATTCTTTTTCCACATTCCACACGTTCCATTCTTACCAATCCTAGACGGATATGCAAAAAAAATCTCGACAATTCAAACAATTCTCGAAGTAGCCAGAGAAATAAACATGGTCTATGACGTGACTAGAATAATTCCTAGTAGTTCGAACTGGCAGGCTTTCTTCGCATTAATTTTAACACTACGTATATATCCAATAATATTCATGGTGTAGCGTCCCTTTTACGAAATATTGAACACGTGTTATGGTTGGTGCGAGAGGTCACGCGCGGTCAGTTTTATTACATTTTTTTGTCAGATTTTGGATATCAGCCGAGAGGGGAATTTGTTTTCATATGAGCGAAATTTAATGTTTTTGTTTATATATATACTTCGATGAGTGGAGTATCGAAGTAAAACATTGTAGTATGTATAATATAATTTAAGTTTAACGATTTATATTAAGTAGACCTAATCAAGGTTCACAAGTGGATGATAAAATTATGTCGTCATGAAATAATTTGACGTTCTGCAGGAAAAGAAATGGATGTTGTTTGAAAATTAAGAAAAAAACACGCTTCTATAGAAAGGCGAATTCACAATTAATTCCCTCTTTCTATCCTGATGTTATTTGGCAGGATATTAGAGTGAATCCATAAAATTATTGTATTGTATTCGGTATTCGGTCTTTAATGCGTGTGCAGATTCTGAAGTTGATCGGGCGTCCTATAGTTGTTAAAAATGACCTTCAAAGATTCAAAAGCATGTTAAAATGGAGAGTTGAAGAGCATGTTTTTTTTAATAAAAATGAGACAATGTGTACTATAGCTATGCAATAGACAAAGTAAGATCATATTAGATAATTTTGAAAGTGAACCTATCAGAATATTCTCGGCCTATTGAAAAAAAGCACAAGTATGGCGAATGAAAAAGATAAACTATTAAAAAATAGATTTTGAAGTTTTGTAAACTCATAGCAATAAAATGCTGCACAATTAATTATTTACAATAATCATCTGTTTTTTCTTGTGTATTTAGAAGTGTATTATACGTTATATATGTTTTATACAGCAAAACAATTCTTCACGTCGTCCTTGTGTTGAAAATCCACAGAAATATCAACATGTGATATACATTCTGACGTAGTTTCTTTTCCGCAAGCTAAAACAAAGAATTATTAACAGAGCTAATAATCAATTAAGATTTCTAGAATTGATTATAAGTTCACGGATGAAATAATAAACCCTAGTATTAGTCATTGACTGTATAGAAGTGATGGAAAAAGTGCCCAAGGAATAGAACGATCGTGCTCTAGTCCACTTCGAGAAGTACTTAACGTTGTACAAGAAGAAAGAAGAACTAATATTACTTGTTCTGTGTGAATTCTGTAATATAAGAACTGCTGTTAGAAGTATTCAATTCCAGATATCGGAACAGATTAGCTGTAATGACACTAGAAGAAATGGAATCAAAAAATGGGAATCTATGAAATTGGAAATAACGAATTCTCCACTCCGTCACATGAAGCAGACAGATAACTCCTCCTCCTCCTTGCGTCGGTTACCTCATTACTGAGGGTCGTGGTCATGGCCTTAAAACAGTTCGTTTTTTATAATGCACCGCCATCTGTTCCTATCTGCAGCTGAATGCAGAGCATCGTGCACTGTGGTATCAAGGGCTGCACCAATCTGGTCCGTCCAACGGGTCGGGTTCCTGCCTCTTTGTCGCTTGCCCTCGACCTTTCCAGTGGTCCAGGATACCAGGGGAGATCAAAATCGAGAAATCGGAGAATCAAGATGAAGTATTGTTTTTGTTTCAGACGTGGAACGAAAAGGGTTTCCTGAAAAAGCCAGTAGCCGCATCACCGATAGATCTATTGCGTTCTGAGGTACAGTTTATCCACACAAAACTCGGTTACAAAGAGTTGAATTTACAGTAGTAGAATCCTTAAGTAGAAATAACCTTACTCTTAGAAATTCCAACTAATCTCTTTCAGTAACTGAGTTTTTGAGGATAATCTTGTAACTAACATAGGAGAGCTGTTGACGAGGACATCGGATAACATGATTCTGGAATCACAGACTGATTTTAGAGACCTCTGAGTTACACTACAAGACATTCTTCTCAGTCGCATGCACTCTTGGCAGAGTGGTCGTGTTCATCACTTCGGATGGTGGTGCGCTTCACCAGATGTCGCCATTCCTCGCGTACCGCAGCCCTCCTTGTGCTCTCGTTAACGGGACCGTTTAGAGCTGCCTTTATTTGGTCGGTCCATCGTAATGGTGATCTGCCGTGCGGTCTTGTACCCTCTATCATGCCCTTCACATGACATTATGAGTTGCTTTATGAAGAAAAATCCATTCGTGTATTAGAATTGGCGCAGTGACGTTTAAATCGAGTGATTTAAGATCTTTTGTATTGAAATTTTTCGTATTGCTAATTAAAGTGAAGTGTGTGTAAAAATAGTTGTAGTACTAGCTTCGGCATTCTCTCTGACGAGTTTAACGTTTATCAGTCTTTATTTATAGAGAGAGATTATACTTACACCCATTAAAATTGAACCAACCGACAACAGGCATGTATAATTGTACAATAGGCGCTGTGTCGCTAAAACCATACCTACTAGATAATCGTTTTTATCTAGAGAAGTTATTAAAAAGATACAGAATGTTGCTGTGTACTATTACTAACAATATTCACAGTGATTTATCAAAAATAGACTGAACAAATAATAAAGAAGATAGATAAATTCATCATCAAGTCATATTACACTCATCGTAATAAATTTGAGTAGGTACTATATTACGTTTTTCGAAGAAACCAGAACCGTAGGATTCTAAATGACAAATGAAATTCGTAATCTTCTCTAGATAGGGATTTCTACACGTTCAGTGAAGCTAGCATAGACCTTCGAGGTTACTAGCAGTAAGTAGGTGAAAAAGTCTCTAGCTATAAATTACCAGCTGTATAGTCGGATTTTTAATTAGACGAAGCCAGCTGACAGTAGCTAATGTCACTTTGTGAAATAATGTTGCTATATTTAAAGTAATAGTGATGAGTTCAGTTCTCGTTCAATCACATGAATGAACAATGAGTGTGAAGAGTTAATCATTAATTTCAAATTATAAAAGAATATTATTTATATTTTACAATAAAATTGTATTAAAGTGCTCCAATATATGTTACTAGTAGTATGTAACTACAATCAGTTTTTTTAATTTTCATTACCTACCTATAATTGTTCTATTTTATACATCTATAGTTTCAACTATATGATGTATTGGAAATAGGACAGTCTTACAAGCTTCATCGCAATGTTTTTCTTAATGTTTAAAACACTCGATATTCGGTACAGGTAAATACTATAGGAACATAATATTTCGTCGAAAAGTCGTTGGTATGTATAAAGCACGCCTAAAATTCGAACCCCGTACCCGATATCGGCAATTCAGCACACCGACTATTCACTAGACAATCGAGGCAATTTCATTAATTCAGGAGTTTTTTCAATCGTTCACTTTGTCACAACACTATTTTTATTTCATCAAAAACTGACAACACAGTAAACGTCAGTTGACTTCGTCTAATAAAAAATCCGACTATAGTACAGTTTGCGGATTGGACCGGTGATGTTGACGTATGTGGGTCAAAAATGATTTGGTCGTCTGTTCTTTGTCCTTCTCTTGCATTAAAATATTTCTTGGAG